GTGGAGTGGAGTGGAGTGGAGTGGAGTGGAGTGGAGTGGAGTGGAGTAGAGTGGAGTGGAGTTCTTTCCCCTTCATTCTTGCTTGGGTGTCCCTGGATGCTTTCGCCATAGCTGGGAACCCGTCTCTTTTTCTCTTGGTGTGTCCTTGGACGCTTGTGTCGTAGCTGGGAACACCTTCGTTTTCTTTTGTTCCTTTCTTTCCTTTCTCCTCTCCCTACCCCTGCCTCCCTCGTGCACAACGTGTTTACATACTAACGAAGCTTTGCAACAGGTCTTCAATGAGGTTTGGTTTCATCGGTTTCTGTCCCCTTCATTTGGCTCCCCTTTTTCATCCTGTTTCCCCTTGACACACCTTTTTCCCCTCTTTTCTTTCACGTCTCTCTGTCTTCATGTCTTGTCATCTCATCCTTTCTTCGCACACGTCGGTCCTGACCTTAGTGTGTACATGCACATCTACTTGCACTGTAAGCCCAGGTTTCAGGTCGCCCAGGTTTGACAATGAGGTGGGGCTCATCGGTTGTTCCTGTGGACTTGGTTCCCTTTCATCGCAGCCACGCACACTTTTGTCTTGTCTTGTCCTCTCTTCATGTCTTCATCTTGTTGTCTTTGCTGCGCGCACGCGTGCACACTCGTCCTAACCTTAGTTTTTCTCGCCTCCCCTCGGAGAGGCGTGTGTGTGTGTGTGTGTAACCCTTGGAATGACAGGGATCCTGTCGGATTGCAAATTTGTTTTTACTTTAACTTGCAGGGGGCCGGAGCCAGGTGCGGGGGTCTCCGGCCAACGAAGACACCCCCCACCTGGGTGCAAACGTACCTACACTTGTGACAACACTCCACTCTTCCACCGCTGTGGTTTGTTTCCATGGTGTTTGCATGATATTCCCCTAAACCTGCCTTAGTTTTAAGTTTTCTTGTGTTTTCTTGTGTACTGCAGACCTGCACGCTTCGTCGTCATTTGTCGCCTCGGGATCGGCTTGAGCTTTTGGCCCACTTCCGTTTGAGGACCTCCAGGCTTCTTTGGTTTTCACTTGATCTGGTCAGGATTTGGGTACCCAGGTTGGCGTGCGCCAACCCCGCATCAAATCAGTACGCAATTTCATAAGCGTGTGCGCGTTGTGTGTGTTAGAGGTGTTAGGTGCGTTAGGTGTGTATGTATGCGCGAGAAGTGGTCGGGCCAGGCACCGTATAGATTCGTTATCTTCCACAACATGAGGGCTTAACTTAACCACATCTGCGAGCACCAATTGTCCATTCGACAAGCGGGTAGGCGCCTCATAGTTCTTCTGTACAAAGTCTGCTGACCTCAACATATGTCAATCGAATAAGGGCCCAAGTCTCCAAATCACTAGGCTGCCCACAAATGTCTGGACACCAATTGGGCCTTCCTAACTCCGCGTGCACCTCAAGCAAACAAGCAAATACTAGAACACGAGAGCACGAGGCTCCCGTGTACCTCGCCAAAATGCTCTGGGTCCTGTCATTGCCTCGGCCACTGTTAAAACGACCAGACATGTTAGTGATCCAGAGTGCCTACACAAGGCCCTTGAGCATTTGGCTTTGCGCTGCTTGTAGTCAATGCTCCCTTCACCCGGCTCTCCTTCTACCCGATTCGAGCCAGAATGAATGCAGGAATCCGTGATTACCCTCATGATGAGATGTTTGGTTTGCTTGTGCGCGTCGGCTCCGTAGCACAACGCACAGTTTTGCTTTAATGCTTTTGCCGCGTCCATGCTCAATCTCCAGCAGGAGGGCGCCGTTCGACCAGCCCTGCGTGCTTCTGGACCAGGAGGAGGGACCAAGAGAGGAATGGAATTCGCTGCTTTTCCACGTCCTTGGCACGAACGTGCTTAATCATAGATTACGATGGTGCAAAGGGGAATTCTTCACTAGCAATGAGAAGGCGCTAGGCGTGTCAGAAAAACATGTGTATACAACCTGTTTCAAGATGAATATAAATATATATATATACTGGGGGCTAATGACTTTGGCTTTTGGGTCTGAAGTGACATAAGCCTGGTGGCCTGTAAAAAACTATGTCATGGCACTCTCAGATATGCCCCCAACTGGGACAATGAGATAGGACTTGTGGAAGGCACCAATCCGCATACGCTCGGCTAGCCTGTATTTCGGTTTTTCCATCCAAAGGCCCATGGCCTACGTGTTGTGGATTTCGCGCACCTTCAGAAATGGCATCATGACTTAGGACTTCAGATTTTCAGGTATGAATGCTAAGCCCTGTCTCCACATTTCGATGTGTTTGCACTGCTTAACCAAGCAACGGCATTGATTGTCGGAGGGGGTACAAGATAGATAGATAGATAGATAGATATATACACACTTGCGTGTGCGATCTGCATGCGCATAAACACAAAGATTGCGCCGTACTCACAATGAAACATATAAAGCACTCGGTGACAGAACCCTGTTGCAAACGCACTGCAACGGGATTCAAGATCCAAGATGCCGGAAAGAATTCTTGAATCCCATCCCCGAATTCAAGATTGAATCTTGAACCTGGGATTCAAGAACTCTTGCTCCGGAAATCTTGGGCCTTGAGCCCTGGCAAGGGAGCGCTTCAACAAAAAGAGCCCCTTGCAACGCCTTGGTTGTCCTTCAGCCCTTCGGTCTTCCACATTGATGTGAGCAGCGGCGAAGTGCTGACCGGACTCAAGCCGGCCGACCCTGTCATCAACCCGGCAGCTTGCAAGCCCGTCAAATCATTCCCGACCTTGACAACTAGACCTTCAGATAGGCGCCCCTGGCTCTGACAGACACAACACGTACAGAAGAAGCTTGCTGCCGCAGCTTCTTGCTGCAGATGACATGGGCATCACCCGGCTCCTGATCGAGGAGCGCCCACTGTGCAACAAGGGTGTCTTGGGCAAATTGCACGCAACAGTGGGCTTCCCACTAGTCATTGCAATTGCAAAAAAGGTCAGCGCTTCGTCACGCCCCAGCATCTGCACCCACTCTTCACTTCAAGCGTCCTGAGCGCCACCCACTGCAAGTGCGATCTGTGTGGCTTTGTTGCTGCTGCTTTCCGATGTGCCTTTAAGTACAACCCACATCCTCACCAAGATCGACCACAAAGCCTTGGAGCACATGTGGCGAAGGCTGGCCTTTCTTCGGAAAACCTTTGTGGTTGCCCCGGGTCATTGGCTCTGGTCCGCGAAGGCTCCTCCAAGTGCCAGCTGCACACCCGGACCACGGGAAATTCAAGGCAGATTGGAAACCAGTTGCCGGGAAATGGCTGAAGGACTGAAAGGTAATCCTTCACGCGGACAGTGCGCACTCTTACAAGGCCAAAGTGCTAGGCATTCTACACGACAGTGAATCGCAAGAAGCGCGCGAAAGCTAGAGCCAAACTCGTCTGGCAACCGCCTAAAATTGTCAAGCTTTCCACCCATAAACTTCCATGTGGGAAAAGGAACGCAAATGATTGATCAGGCCTGGGGGCTCATCCAGGATCGCTGGCGTCCCAATCAACTCACCAAGGTGGGTAGCTCCCTGCTTCGTGCCCACATTTGGTCTGCGCAGTAATCACAGCCAGTACCTCTGGGCCTGCACTGAGCGGCTTTTGTAGCCTAGGTGCTACAATCTGCCATAGCTTGGGGACACAACAAACTCTCAAACTGAAGCCCTTGATCCATCCTCCTGGAAATTGATCGCACATGCCTGCAATCACCCACAACAAAACATCTCTGGAGTTAGCACGCAGCATGCATATTTATCTAGGATGGCAGCATTGACTTAGACATGCATGCAGCAAGCAAAAATGGTAGATCTTCTGAGGGGATAGCATGTATGCTTGTATATGTACTACATGCATACATGCATATATGCATCCATGCATGCACGCATACATGCATGCGTTGCATTACATTACATTACATTAGGTTAAATCAAACTGCATGACATTACACTACAGTACACTACACTACACTACATACATACATATATACATAACATAACATAACATAACGCAACACTACACTACACTACACAGCATTCATTCATTCATTCATTCATACATGCATACATACATGCATCCTCGCATGCATACATACATGCATACATACATACATACACACATTACATCACATTGCATCACATTACATCACATTACATTCATACACACATACATACATTACATTACATTAGGTTAGATTAGATTAGATTAAATCAGATTTACATACATACATACATGCATTGCATTGCATTACATTACATTAATTACATTACTTTGCATGCATACATACATACATTTCCTTGCATTGCATTGCTTTGCATTCCATTGAATTACATACATATATGCACCCACGCATGTACATACATACACTACATTACCTTGCATTGCATTGCATTATATACATTGCATTACATTACCTTGCAATTGCATTACATTACATTACACACATACATACATTCATAATTACACTACAGTGCAGTACATTATAGTGCATTAATACATTACATTATATTACATTACATTATCTTACCTTACCTTACAGTACAGTACAGTACATACACACATACCATTACATACCATTACATGCCATTACATGCCATTACATTACGCTACATTAAATTACATTACATTAGATTACAGTACAGTACAGTACATACATACATACATACCATTACATACCATAATTACATACTATGCCGTACCATACCATAACATTACATTACATTACAATACAGTACATACATACCATTACACTACATTACATTGCATTACATACCATACCATACCATACCAGTACATAGATACATACATACATACATGCATGCATGCATGCATACATACATCCATGCATGCATACATACAGACACACACACATACATACATACATACATACATACATACATAATTACATTACATTACCTTACCTTACCTTACATTACATTACATACATACATACCATTATATACTCACCCACCCATTGCGCACGATCCACGAGTGAAACGCGCGAACGGCATCTGCGTCCCGCTGGGCGCAAGATGCATAAAAGGCCCCAAACTGTGCGCAGGTCAACGCACAAAACTATACACTCAAGATGGCAAAGCGGGAAAATGGAGCTTCCACGACTCGGAAGCCCGACCGGCACCGGCCTGCAGGGCGCGTGCAAGCAAGTGTAGGCTATGATTCGACAAGTAAGCAGAGGCGCCTGTGATGGCACCTTGGCAAAGCACCTTTCCAACAGATTTCGCATGCCCCGGTTGCATGTCACCAGGAAAGGGCTGGCAACCATCAGTCTTGGCCAGCCACTGCAAACACTGACGAATCAATGTATAAACATCATGGATCAGCATTTCATCGTGGTCATCAAGTTGAAAACCCGACGCATGGAAATGAACCGCAAGTTCACAGAAGGCCGTGCTGTTACCCGGTTGCACCGTCCACCGCAGAGTACGGAGGAAATCGCATACTGTATGCCAGTTGGAGGTTGATGAGCGCCAGCGTTTAGGCACTGGAATGGCATCGGGGATTTTGGGCTTCCATTTGTAAGTCCCAAGGTGCGAATTCCATGGCCACTTGGAGAATGATGCAATTGCAGCTGTCAATGAAACGCCTGAAGGTTGATGACTGTCGCCACCCTGTGTGGGCTCCAGGTTAGGCTCACCAATTTGTTGCCTTGTATCAAGGTGGCAATGTAACCTCGTCAGCCATTCTTGATGCAGAAGTGTGGCAGGGGTCACAAGCCGCTGAACCTTCGGATCAACAGGTGCATGTAACAACGCTTGGCGTTTGGCTTCACGATCGGCTTGTCTGTTCCGGATAATATGCCTTACGGTCGTGCCAAGGGCCTGAGCCGCTGATTCCGTGAGGTCAGTGTCCGAAACGTGCTCCAAACAATGAGAAGGTATCCAACAGACCTGAAGAGGATCACAGAAAATCTGCTTACGATGGTGCCAAAGTTTGTGTAACTGTGTCCACCAAGACAAACAAGCCCAGGTGGGCAAAATACCATCATGCTTTATCATGTGGGCAACGTTGTCAACAACAGATTGGCTGTCCGTGTATACGATAACAGGATTGCGGCTGGTTGCAAGGGCATTGCAAACTGCCCACAATTCTGCAGTGTAGCTGTTGAGCCGCAAAGCCTTCACCCGGCCAGAGGTTTTGACTGCGCCATCTGAATCGATAACTGCGAATGCTGCTGTGGTGATCCAGAAATGTGAAGTCCACATCACCGAGCCGTCGGTCCAGACCTCTTCCAAAAAACCCTCCGGAGGAAAGTCATGTTCACAAGGTGGCAGAGTCACGTCTTGGCAGAGCCTATGGCGAGCAACTTGAGATGGGTGTTCAAAAATTCCCAGCATGGAGAAGTTTGCACCAAACTCATGTAGCGTAGGTGTGGAGATCAGCCTATGCAGTGAAGTGCAGGCAAAGACCAAGTGAGCCATGGTTTCCTTAGCTTGGCCACAAAACCGACATATGTGATCTTCGACCCATCCTGAAGCACAAAGCCGGTCTTTGGTCAGAGTGCATCCAACCAGAACAGATTCGAAATGCATTGTTGCTGTAGGAAAAGTCGGGGTGGCAAAAGTCGGCTTACGCAAGAAGGCGGTGCTCAAAGTCACATCAACAAGACCACTAGGTTTGCAGACGTCTTTACGTTTCTTGTGTTGGACCGCAAAATACTGTGCTTGCAGTGCGATGGCTTGAAGCACCTTAGCAAAATCTCTTGGGCCACATGAGCCTAATATGATCTTATCCGCACCCTGAAATTGCAAGGAAAAATCATCAAGCAAGGACAGGTGCAAAAGATCACACGCCCTCTGGAGTGCCGCAACAAGAGAGTTTTTTGCCGTCCGTTGATTCTTGTCAATAAGCTTAAGCTTGTCAATCGTGTCCGGGTGATCAAAACAATATCTGAAAATGTCCAAGACACAATTATACGCTTGTGCAATGAAAGGATCAATGCGATGCGGCTTACCAAAGAATGTAAGGACAAGGTGTTTGGCACGAATCTTTGGCCTCCCTCGCCAAAGGGCTCTAGTTACACCATTTTGGACCTTTTGAAGAGCGGCTTTCGGAGTTCGTGAGATGTGGGCTCCATACGTAAGTTTGGGGATGGCCTTAGCCCCGATCAAGTGAGCACGAATGTTGACTGGAAGGGGAAGGGCTCCAATACAGTCAACCGCTTGGCAGACATGTTCAAGGGTCTTGGTTTCGAAATGGAAATCATCCTTGTTAGAAGTATAAATCCTCGTGCCTAGGGCATCAAAGACGAATTCTAACTTCATGTCGGGACATGCATGGGCAACAGCATGGCGAGCTGCACGGGATGTTCCCCAAACAGTGGACTTCGCTGCATTTAGCCTCTGCCCAACAAGTTCATCCCAGAGGCTGGTGATCTGTAGCGCGGTAGACAAATCTGCAAGATGCTGGATCTTACACCAGAGATAGGCGTCATCGACATAGGCTCGCATGGACAGAGTCGGAAGGGTCTCGAGTAGATGAACCCACACCTTGGTATGCACATTTACCGCAACTAGTGAAAGTGAGCAGCCCTGTACTACCCCATTGGCTGCTGTAGTGGCCGTGGGACTGATCCACCCCTTGTATGCAATGTGTCTCTTAAGACCTTTATAGATTCTAACGAAGAAGCTAACAAGGGTCTTTGGTAGACCAAAGGCAAGGAACAAGGCAGCAGTACACTCGGGGATCAGGCGGTCAAAGCATTTGGCTTTATCTAGCTCAATGCCTACTAGGTCTTGTCGTGAGGCTCTAGCTACATCAATCTCTAGTCTAAGAGCTGTATGCAGGGAGGGCATAGTGCGCCCTTTGACACCACCGATGATGCAGCTGGGCATCGTTGCGATCTGCCACGCCTGTAGCTGCTCAAATCGTGCACCCGTGTACGAGAGCAGCAATGCAGGTAGGATTGTGATCAAGCGCTTATTCATGGCGCTGGCCGCCCCAGGCTTGTTAAGTATAATTTGTTTAGCACATGTGAGGGCTTCCGGCAAATCAAGCTGGGGGTGGTGTTCAATCCATCGAAAAAATCTTGCAATCGGAATGAAACATTGCGGCGGCAACGCCTGAAGTTCACAGGTCCTCCAGCCGTCGAGGCCTGGGGCCGCCTCTGTTTTGCGTCTTTGAACTGTTTTATACAAGGCTTCGGCATCAATCTGAGGGAGATTAGCTTGATGAACTTTATCTTTAATGTAAGGCCACACTGTGTGAAGCATTTTGATCGGATGATCAAACCCAACATTAGCACCATAAACGTCATCCCACTTATTATTCAAATGCTGAAGGGCAGCGTCAGGCTGGTAAAGGATGTTCCCATGATCATCCTCGACCAAGTTGGCTGGTTCATCAAGAAGTTTGTTCTTGAGATGCCTGAAGATGTAGTTACAGCCATGTTTGGCTGAGGTCTGGATCCGATGTTTCCAGGATTGAATTCTAGCATTTTTTACTTGCGTCATGTGGTTTTGGATTTCCTGGAGCACCCATGATTTTGCAACCTGGATATGAACCAGGGTGACTTGGTCAACTCTCGGCCAAAGCAGCGGGGCGTGTAAAACATGCAGCGAACGGAAGACCTTAGCCGACGTGACTCGAAAGACATGCCGGTCTTGATCCGATTTATAGCCCCTGGTTCTACGGACCAAAAGCTCATCAAGACGATTCTGAAGCTTGAAGAGACTAGCACTTTTAC